GCTCAGAGCGACATTCTTCACACTGGAGACGCCAAATTAAAAGCAGAGGGCTTCCAGCTGCTGCTGGAGAACAGAGCACAGGTGAGGTAACATCCTCAGACGCTGGGCAGGGGATTCTCCGGATTATAGGAGGGAATCTGAACCATAAATGTGACTAAGAGTCCTAAAGATCAACAGATCATTCATTTATTTTTCACATGAATTAAAGAAATACATGGATCCATGATGATAACCAAGGTTTCCTTTATTTCTACCCTGCAGTACGGCGACAACAGGGAGTTTCTCTGGCGACTGGCTCGTGCTTACAAGGACATGTACGAGTCAGCTGAGGACAAGCAGGAGAAGTCCCGCTATGCACTAAAAGGTGGAGGCGCTCATCCTGACATCCTCATACAGCCTGAATCAGTCATCGGGTGAAATGGGAAGGAAGCAGAAGTCAAAGATTAGATTCTAGATTCTAACCCTTCCCCAGATCACCAGAGTTTAAGCAGGTAGCAGGTCTCTGAATGCTGATGAGAAGGAGAAAGGATGCATCTCATGTAAAGGAGCTCCATCCTCCTGGAGTCTGACACCCATCGCTGCTCCACACCCAGTACAGAGCTGGGGTCGCTGCTTCTAAAGTAACGCAGATAAGAGATGAAGCTTCATGCAGACATCTTTATTCAGAACTTATTAAAGAATGGAGCAGCCAATCACAGGCCAGCAGATCTGCACTGCAAAAAAAGGAAATCTAAATACGTTTTTTTCTTTTTTTAAATAAGTGCATTTTGCATTCTTGCAGCTTTAGATTGAAATTATTTTTTTTTTTTATCTATCAAGTGTGCAGGCAATAAGGTAAAATGCAGAAGAAAAAAACTTAAATCTAAATAAGTCATTTCTTCTTAAAATAAGTGCTTTTTTATTGAATTAAGGAGGTAAGTGAGACACTTTGCGAATGGAACAAGACAATTTACACTTAAAATAAGAACAAACACAATTGCATTGTCTCATTTCAAGTGCATATTATCTAATTATATTATTTTAAGAGTAGAAATACTCATTCCATTGGCAGATCATCTTATTTACCTGCTGAAATCAAGACTAAATCCACTTAATTTAAACTATTTCTAGATCATTTTTGCAGTGTGCCAGTGATCCTAGATGACGGCAGTGATGAGTCCATCATTCTGACGCTCCCCTGTTGTTATCCTCCTCTGTGTGTCTGCAGGTCGGGAGGAAGCAGAGGCGGCCCTGAGGAACCACAGCCTGAATGCTGAGGGTCACAAATGGTACAGAAAGGACAGCAGATCTTCCCTTTTAGCACAGCTGTTTCTAATGGACGCCTGTCTGTTGTCCTCAGGTTTGCATTGCTGACTAGACTCCGGTTAGAGAAGGAGAGCATGCACAGCAAGCTTAAGAGTGGTCACATACTGAAGGTAATGCAGCCGCAGCGAGAGGAGCTCATGGTAGCACACTGCTTTAGAAAGCCTGAGAGAACATTTCTAACCATACATGCTGGGAAAACCAAAAATAATACAGCACCTGTTTTTATCTCTACATTTAATGTTGATATTAGCTGGGTAGTTTAACACAATATATCTCTATATTGCAATTTGTGAGGATATCGTATCATGACCCAGGTATCGTATCACAACACCCTCTCCAATACTCAGCCCTCGTTAAATGGAATATTTTAAATGTTGTCTGCTGTAAAACATTCTATTAACATAAAAAATGAGAACTGCTAAATAAAGACAACAGTATTTGGTTTATTTATCTCAGTAATACGAAGGAGTTGGTCATTTTTTATGTACCTGTGGTAAACGGACCCTTAAAGTGTAGTTTTTGACGATGCATGTGTCATTTTAGCTGAAAAATTATTTTCTGTGTATAAATTCATCCAGGAGCATCTAGACCGAGCGTTGGCCCTCAGTCACAGCGACCCAGTGTGTTACTACCTACTGGGGAGATGGAGCTACGAGGTGAGACCCCTCACATGACCCCTCACCATCCCATCAACCTGTGCAGGCTGACCAGTCTGTGTGTGTGTGTGTGTGTGCAGGTGGCTACGCTGGACTGGTTGGAGAAGAAGGCGGCCGCTGCCCTCTACCGGAGCCCCCCCACAGCCACGGTGCAGGACGCCCTTCAGAACTTCCTGAAGGTGAGAAACTATCGCTGATATTTAGCTATAAAAGAAAAGACATTTATTTAGTGTCCTCATACCAGCGTGGGTAACAAAGGCATCGTTGTGAGGGACAAAATAACTTTAGAGGAAATAATGGTTTTCTTTGCAGATGTGAAACATATTTATTTTAAAGTATTCCAGAATTAGAGGACAGCTGCATAAAAGACATGGTGCATTAGTGTTAGCCTAGCATAACGGGGCAGCAGGGGGAATATTTCATTGACACTTTTGCTTTAACAAGTTTGCCTTCAGTCATATCAGGAGGTCCATTAGACAGGGAGCTGGCTGACTGTTCTCCCTGAGCCCGGTCATGCCAGCGTGCTGGGTTATCCCGGGCGTACACTGTAGGATTTTTTTTGTCCTTTTTGGGTCGATTCTTCAGTCGTGCGAGAATTGTCCGATCGGGTCAACGTTCAGCCTGATGGTGCGTGGTGTAGTGTACAGTGGGTAACGAGGGGCGATCAGCCTCTAACGACCACCTCCCCATCAGGAATCGGAAGGTCGGGAGAAAATCAAACATGTTTGAAATTCAGTCGGCCGTTGTAAGGTGGTTATGGGCAAATCTCTCACTGGGCAAACAAGGATTCTTCTTCCTCTTCTTCCTCTGAGATGTAAACCCAGCAGCATGGCGGGGGGGCAATGAGTGAAATGGAGTTCTTTCTGTAAAATCTACAGACCGTAGTAGCCATGTTTGCTCAGCCATGTCTTTGTCCAAATACGTCGTCGCCTTTTCTTTTTAGGGCTTTCAGCACAAAATTGCACAAATAGCCAAAGCAGCGCGTTTCATTCTAGTGAGCTTCATGTTCCTCTGCTACTGGCTTGGCTTCTGGATAGACGAGTCAGAGTAGCTCCATCTTACTGTGGAGCTGAGCCCCACCTGGTTTCCATCAGAGGACTGGAAAAGATGGACAGAAGACATTTTACACTGACCACCATTAATTGTTCCTTTAAACCGTTTCCTGTATCAGTAAATTGAATCCTTGCTTTAGTCTGATGGTGGTGCGGATGTGCAACAATTCCTAATATCAGAGTGGTTGGAGATTTAGGATCAGCCTTCATATAATCCAGGTTCACTCCAAAATCCCTGATAATCCCTTTGACAGGAGACCTCAGATAGCAGATTTACTCCTCTTTAAAATCCATCCATCCATCCATCCTTTTCCTCTTATCCTGGGTCGGGTTGCGGGGGTAGCAGCTTCACTAGGGAGGCCCAGACCTCCCTCTCCACAGCCACTTTGGCCAGCTCCTCCAGGGGAATCCCAAGATGCTACCAGGCCAGCAGAGAAACAGCCAGACTTTAGCCGTCACTCTGGCTCTAAAGCTTTCTACTCCTCACCTTGGTGTGTTTTAAACCTGCAGGCAGAGGAGCTCAGTCCAGCTTTCTCCAGGATTAACAGACTCTACATCGCCAAGGTAACGTGAAACTGGCCGATCTCAGTAAACCTCTCTAAACGTGGATCATGTCATAATGTAATACTGTTTTCTGGCTCAGTGTCACAAGGAGCTGGGGAACATCTCTGAGGCCACGAACTGGACCAAGCTGGCCCTGAAGATGACCGCTACCACCGTAAGAACCATCTCCACACACTAACTGGACCTGCAGTTCTGTCTGCAGCTTCAAATACAAAACAAAGAAAACATTAGGAGGGTTTCCAAAATATCTCAGCCTTTTTAACTCTTTAGTAGACATCCCCATAGTGGGTCCTGGAGGGCCGCTGTCCTGCAGGTTTTAGAGGTTTCCTGCTCCAGAACAGCTGATTTCCATGGATAGCTGATTAACAGACTGAACTGCAATCACCAGAATCAGCTGTGCTAAAGCAGAGAAACCTCTAAAACCTGCAGGACAGACTGGTTTATAGAGCAAGTTAGCGTTTTTGATCTCTTTTACAAATGGAGTCCCCCCCCCTCTGTCCCTCAGTGAGGTCTAGAAGCACTAGATCTATATCCAGCCATTCAGCAAAGATCCTGCTACATGGCTGTTATCTTATTTTGGCATTTGACCAATTAGTTGAGCCCTTGACCGATAAATTACTTACTGTAATATAAGTTGAAAAAAAGGTAAAAAGTAAAGTTAATAAGACTAGTTACCAATTATACTTTGGTTTATAGACTAAAAGATTTAAGTTCCAGTATCAGCATTAATGCCTCTAAGGTTATGGACCAAAAAAGTAGTTATTTCACTCCTAGTGTTTTTCATGAATTTCTTGCAGAAGCCATTCGGCCAAGTTGGCGTTACGTGTTATTACATTGACAATTCAATGTATCCATATTTTTTGATGTTCCAAAGGTAATAAGGTGTTTCCTGGATTCCAATAACACTGTTGGCTTGAAAAAGTATTTCTCTGAGTGCCCTATGAAGGGTTAGAGGTTAAATGTAAACCATTAATCAGCCTTTAATTCTTCCTGTTTTTCCTCAGCTTCAGGATGAAGAGTTGGAACTGGAGGCTCAGCTCCGGCTCTTACCCGACAGACAGACGAACTGACAGACGGGGAAACGAGTCCTGATTCCATCGACCACATTCTGCCCTTTTATATTTTTGATGTGAGGTGGTGTTAACCTTGATGTGTTTATTTGGATTATAGTTATGTAACCATCAGAATATCGAGGACGTTTGTATTTTTAACTCCTGTCTGGGAAGCTAAGCTCACCTGAACGCTAGCTGTGGGTTAGAAGGAAACAGCAGAGGTGACAACCGTTTCCAAACGTCCTTTCCTGCTGGTTTATGGCATTTTATTAGGACATTTGTTTTGTCTGGGAGGAAAAGGGTCCTGTGATCAGTTTGTCAAACCAAAACATTAATGAAGTTAATCTCATAAATTTAGATGACAACACAACTCAAACAATAGGTTTTAATCACAACTTAGTATTGAAGCTCATGTGGCAGAAGAGAGAAAACAGAACAGATAAAGAGGAAAACAGTTAAATAAAAGTTTACAGACGACATTCAGCAGAAATCTGACACTAAAATACCAACATTTGTTTTTCTGTCCACAATAAGAGTCTGGAAACACCCCCACCCCCCCCTATTGCAAAGTAAACCTCCAGTCCGATCCGGTTTAGTCCTTGGCGTCTCCTACGCCATCAGCGTTGATGGCAAACATGGCTTCAGCCTCCGGCAGACAGGGGGAGTCGTAGATTTTACAGATTCTGGTCTCTCCTCGGCCCTTCCTCAGGTACAGCCTGCAGAGTGATGATGATGATGAAGTGAGCAGACAGGCGGAGCGCTGAAGGATCACACTCTGAGTCATCAGCTCACCTGGTGGTGGAAGCGTGGGCCAGAATGTTGCCACCAATTGGTTTCTTGGGATCTGCAGAAAACATGGCTGCCCCGTCGACCTGTGCCACCACTTGGTTGGTTATTACCACGGCAACGCCAAACTAGAGAGAGGAAAGACATGAGCTAAGAACAGGTAAGGTACGAGGACGCCAGGGAAACCTTCCTGCACAGACTGCAGCTGGTTTCCTCGCTCTGACCCTGGGAGCTCGGGTTCTTCTCCCCGCTGTGGGACAGAACGCCTCAGCAGAGCTGTGCTACGTACCTCGTCCGCCAACCGGAGCAGCATGCGTAGGAAGCGGCCCAAGTGTCCCTGCCTGGCTGACAGCTCCCCTCTGCCGGAGTAGTCTGTCCTGTACAGAGCCGTGGCGCTGTCCACTATGAGCAGGGCATACCTGTAGAATCGTCCCGCAGTTAGAGAACAGGAATGAAAAAGATCAAGTCATCTGGTCTCCACCTGTGAATTTAGGTTGATTTCCTTCAGTTAGTCTAACACTGATTCACACCCTCCTCTGCTGCCCATCTGACCACATTCACATTCCACAAGTTTATTCCATTTATTTCTGTAGTGATAATTCACAAAACAAGGCACTTTCCAGTTCACCAGATCATCCAGTCAGATTGATTGAAAGTTCTCTATCTCAAGAAAACCAGTTGATTGCATTGACTCATTGACTCTTCAGCAATCCCTCACACTAAGCATGCTTGTAAAGGTAAATCCCTTCGTCCCACAAGGGGAAATACATCCTTGAGGAGCAGTGGGCTGCCACTGTGTGGCTCCCAGGGATCAGAGCATATTACAGTCCAACATTGTTTTGGCAAACTACACTAATTATAGTGACCTCTAATCGGTGTAACCGGGTGTCATTAAATAACAACCTTACTGCATTTAACATTTGACTATGGTCCCTGGTGTCTCTAATGCCACGTATCTGACCATGGAGCTGCTAATCACCAGAGTGGGCTTCTCAGTGGGTGCGTCACTGAGCGAAAGCTGAGGGAAAATCGGTCAGAAACGTGGATGCTTATAATAAAGTGGACATTTATTTTTCTTCATCTGATTTACTGTGGAAATGTTGTCTTTGCACAGAGATGTCTTTATGAATAAACAACATTTTAAAACAATGCTGATTTTGATCTGATATCTGTAGAACCATAAAGCATTAAAATGTTAAGATTTCAACATGTATTAATGTGTGCTTTAAAAGGAGAAACGTCTGATTGATAAAAAGCCAAAGTAAACCAGGTATGTTCAGGTTTTACCTCCACGTGTTTCTGAAAGATGCAGCCCTAAAAAACAGATCTGTTTAGTCCTATCTAAAGGTGCAGTAGATCTTTTCTGATGCATTTTTAACCACGTGGCTTAAAGGTCTCCCTACAGCCGCTTAGCAAGCAGTGAAATAGAAGCTCTGGAAGTGAAACTAAAATAAATGGTCCCCGCTACAGTGAGAAATCAATGAATAACAACCAATCACAAAAGACGGTCCGTTGTACACGATTGGTTCTGCTTTCTGCTTCATTTTATATGCCTGTACTAGTTTAGTTCTGATGCTCGGCAGAAGCATCTTTGCTGCTCTAGCAAAGTGGGTCTGATGTGCGTTGGACGGAGCCACCCTATCCTTTCTCTGCCTGGAACAATGGCAGCCATATTAGCTGTGATCAGTGGGTAGAAAGTAGTTTGAATCTATGTTGAAGTGAGAAAGTCCTCCTGAAAACATCATCAGTGCAGTCAGTTCATCCAGATTACCATCCTGCCTTCAATTATTATTTCTGTAGGAGCCGCTCAGACCCCCACAGTGGCGGTGCGCTGTCATTATGAATCCCATCAACAGCAGCCTCTGGCACAGTCGCCTACTCGCGGTTTGCTGCAGCGGCTGGAAGGCAGTTTTATCATGTACGTAATTCCAACTGCAGGCACCAGGATAATAAAAGCGAACATATTCTGCCAGCAGGTTTCTACATTCTAAGTTAATTTAGTCGTTAATAAACAGTTTCAGAGGAGCGATCACAGCGCTCTGCATCAGCAGTGCTGTGTCTGTCTCCCTGCCAGCTCCTAGATCAGCGACATGCCGCTCCTGCTGCTCTAGACGCGCCGCAGACGGCTGCTCTGGACACGCCGCAGACAGCTGCTCCGGACGCGCCGCCGGACGCGCCGCCGCAGACGGCTGCTCTGGACGCGCCGCCGCAGACGGCTGCTC